ATCTGGTCCGAATGTAAAGTTTTAAAACATATTGCAATGGAAAGTGTTTGCAAGGGTGTGAATATTTCACTTGTGGAGAGGTGGAAAGTATGTAAATAAAATTACTACGCCACTGCTAGGAACGAAATAATGAATCGCGCAAACAACAAATTGACTACGCCCATGATAAATCTATACTATTTTTTTAGTAAGATGGCAGGATGCGCGATTAGTTGCGCAAAATTTTCCCGCGCTAGTGAGTTTTCATGCTGTTCTGGGTATGCTGTGCCTTTACTACATTATAGCTTGAATTGAAACACCAAAATAGCGTGGCGGTACAAATTTTTTCGCTGCATTTTGTGCAGTACAGATTTCCCAACAAACGATGACGGGAGGGCATTAATGGAAGCATAGGCGGCCCCGGCCCCGTCTCTTTCGTCTTTCTTTGTCATTCAATAGTTGTTGTAATCCGGGGCAACAAGGGTATGACTACGCTGAACATTCCCTCTTAATAGGTAAAATAGTATGAAAAGGGCCTAACTATGAGTCGCATCTGTTTTCTGAATACAAAATCAGCATCAGCAACCACACATTATATAGAAACGACACCAAGAACGGCAAAATCCTTCAAGTATGGAATTTCCAAATTTTGAATAAATTATTAATTACCTAACGGCCTATTTACACACCAGAAACTGTTTTAACTTCAATATTATATTTCTAGCTAGTAGTGCACGTCCAAATTAGCTGGAATCGACATCCGAAACATCACGCAGGGTTAAAACTATCAAATTCAAAATTTAACCATTATTTTGAAAATACTCCAAATTTGGGGCCTAAGGGTCAGATATGCAACTTTTTTAATGCCGCCATTGGCACCAGCGACCCTAAATCATTCAAAAACGACCCCTAGAATGCCGAAATTCGTCAATTTTTACAGGTTTAAAATCTTGAACATCCTTTTGAACAAGTGTTCAAATTTTGAACCCACACGAAAATTTCGGTGGGTGCTGCGGGTCAAAAGTTTTATTTGGACCTAATAAACATGTGTACCGAGTTTCATGCTTTTGTCACAAAGTACAGCGTTTACCTCGATATTCAGTTGTACCGCCTATACGCTAAAATTCAATGTGCGGTGAAAGGTTAGTTAGACCAAAGAATACTTAATAATTACTCTTTGGTTAGACTGAACATGAAAAAGTTTCTAAGGATCAGTATGAAAATCGTTGGAATTCAGCTTGTAATTCGAGCGATCTTTTCTCGTCCTTTATCTGCAGGTCCTCCTTTTCCATCCAGTTTCTCAGAAAAAATTGGATTGGACCAAAGATGAGTGACATCCTGCACGCTTCACCCTTTCTCAGAACTTAGGTAGCTGCTTACCTGGTCCATTGTTCCAAAAATTTGTGTTTAACCTTGAGTGTAACCAATTGTGTGTAGATGCATTTACTATTTTTCGTAATCACTGCTCGAGTCACTGCTTAAGCTTGATATATCCACAAACTATTTTGCTAATCTGAATTCACAATCTGAATCTTCATAATAATAACAATCATTATTAAACTAACTTTGCATAATTTCAGTGTTTTATTTTACGTTCCTTTCGTACTGTACCTACTTCAGGTCCTAGCTAACCTAAGGGAGCCCTACCTTAGATGTTGATCACGTGCTACTTTTCGATTTTAAATTTAAGCGGGATCTGTTTAACTTTTGAAGGGAATAACCATTCTGGTGCTCATTTTTAAACGTTGCGGGGTTGGTTTCCGTGTTCTTATAGTGTGCAGTTAGCGTAGAACCTGAGGGTTAAGTACACTACAGTTATTTAATTAATTTATATAGGTACAGGGTGTCTTATTGCGGAAACTAGCGGGAATATCAAAAATGATTTATATAAAATCGTCTTCATATGGAGGGGTCATTTAATGATGCTATGCGCAATTTCACATAACTGTCCCTTAAGAGTCAAGTGTAGGGCAACTTAATTTTTTCAATTAGTGCCAACTACAGTTTCTATGAAATATTCTTACGCTACATCGGAAAATAATAAACTTTCGTAGGAAACGTTTTTTCCCTACACTTACTAATTTTTGAAGACACTCTTCTAAAAGCGTTATTTTTGCTTTGAGCTACGAAGCTGTTCTGTACCTCTGTCAATGATTGGGCACATTTTTTTATGATTTGCTTTGACACAACCTTATTTCTTGGTGATTTTATTAAAGTGAAGTTGATATAATTAAAAATTAATTGCTACTGCATACATTTCCGAGTAAATTTCCGTTCCGTTCCACTTTCTTCAACGGCCAGTCTGATGTTTAATATAATAAATATAGGGATTTAATTACAAGCTATCTGTGTTTTTTTATTATCGAATGAATTGAATTGTAGAGAAAAAGGAGAATTGGGTTTAGGTATACCTATACAGTGACGTGCAGATTTAAATAATCAATATATAGCAAGGCTCATCTAAAATAATCCAGTGGGAGTCAATTTCCAGTACAACTGGAAGCCTGGTAAACTGGTAAGTAGTATTATATAAATGATCCGGCAGCTAAGAAGGCAAGAGATCACACGCTCCCACTATTCATATTCTCTATTGGTGTGTCACTGAGATACACCGGTTCCTCCAGCATGCAGACCCTAAATTGCTCATCTGTCGTCTGCGGATATAGCTCGCCTTCTTAGCTGCCGATTACTGTACCTATCTGAAATGAGATTTTTTAATAAATTTAGGTTCAAATTTTTAGAAATCTAGTGCAATTAGTTTTTCGACTCAACATGCTGAATACTTGTACCAAGCCACACAGTTGTAATTTCTTAATTGTACCTATTGAGTTTATGATACAATGAACTCGACAAGGGCAATAAAGTATTGCAATATACATTAACCATATAGGAATACCTTTTGTCTAGCACGAGTGCTCTAGTTATAGCCGTTAATTTTTCCCAGGTTGGAGTGGTTATTCTTGAAAATTCCCGGATTAAAAACGGCTAGCTGAGAATTTTAACTGTAATAAATTTTACCCGAAATCGTCATGAAACCATTTTCAGGTGCTTACTTTATGTCAGCAAATTTTCGATTCCGTGATAGTGACATAGGTAGGTACCTACAAATTTTATTTTTTTAAACGCGACGCCCTGTATATCATTCAATCAAAATGTATAGGCATATTTCGTGTACAATGTGCCATACTTATTAGTTATTACCAACTAAGAATATAGCTGTTTCGTGCAGCACTTTTTCCTGATCCCCTCGTTGATCCCTTGGGCTGATATACACGCTGTTAAAATGTTCACGAAAATACAAAATATAGGGGATTCGCAACTTGAACGGGATGACTTACCTACTAAGGTTTATAGAATATGGGAAAAGGGGAACATTTCTTAAATGCATCTGTTGTAAAGTAAGTAGGGTAATTATTATTATATGCATCAGATGTCCCAAAATTAAAATGAACTGTTGATGTATATTTATTGTTATATAGAATCAAAGTGTAGCTTCCATTGCGCTGCGGTTCTGAATTTCTCATTATGTTGTTAAAAACGACCAAACTTTAGCTACAAATAACTATGATTCACGCAATTTTTTTAGTGCATGCGTATGGAGTTCCGCAAAATGTAAATATTTTATCATTGGTTTTTATAGTGTGATCATCATCATGATTTGTTTAAAGTACGATTTTATATTTACGTCTGGTCCCCTCCCCAATCGAATAGTCGCTAAGAACCTCGCTAAGAACTTAAAAAGTTTTCCTTGGAGATAATAGCGGAACTAACAATTTTGCCTAGGTGTTTGAATATTGGAACTTTTGAAAAATTTCGAGCCCTCGATATATAATTGGAAAAAGTACCGCGTATGCTTATACTTGCTCTCATTGATAAAATACTCGTAATTTGATCTATATTGAAATCTAAGTATAGAAAATGTGACTTTGATAGTTTATCCTGAGGATGATCTACATTTTCGGAATGCAACGGCAATAACCCATAAATGTGAATAACTTTTCCTTTTCACTATTTTTGGTCCAAGATTCGGTTTTTCTTACGTTTCATAAATAAAAGCTTGACATTGTTAGTTTCTTTTGTAGGAAACGAGGTAGGAAATCCGAAATAGACAGGATGCGTTAGGAGGACGATTGTTTTATTTATTTATTCAGATATCGGAGTCCGAGGAGAATCTGTGTATGAACTCTAGTAACCGCTACAATTTCTCTAAACCACTTGTACCTAGTGCAATATAGATGAATTTATATTCGATTTGTTCATATACCTACCTACGAGTAAGAATATTATACAGGTCGATTTCTTTAATTAATGGTTACTATCTATCTTTTAGGTAAGCAAATATAGGCGTTTGTAAAGTTTGTTCGTAAGCGAAATCGTAAGGTTCACTAAATACCTATATACAGTTTTAGATTTCTAATAAGTACTTCCAAAATAGGTACGTTTTTCAGAACTTGGAGGTACGTATTAGAAATCTAAAACTGTATCTACTCGTATATATTCAGTGAACCTTACGAATAAACTTAATGAATTGTATACGTATAAACGCAATTAGATTTCTATACCTATTTAATCAATAGAGAGATTCGATAGATACTATACCTACTTAGGTACACTATTTTCAATCATCTTTGGTGCATCTTAGATAAGGTGGCTCTAGTATCCCATCAGAGGGCAAGAGTCCCTTTATTTAAAGGTTATTGTACACCAATATAAGAAACTGCAGTTGATATACCTGCCTACCGACTGGATTTTTTAATTGATACCTACCATAATACAAAAGTTATTTAATTTAAAAATAGATTTCCGCTAATTATATATCGCGTTTCATTTCATGATCGCATTTCTGAAGTATGCAACTTTCTAACCAATTATTATTAAATGTTGGAAATCCACTGGGTAGGTATAAGTATGAAGTATCTGTATAGGTACCTAAGTTAATTTTACTAAGCTACAAAGAATTTTAAGGTGTATAGGTACGTCGCAAGTTTTATACACACAAAAGTATCATAAATAAAACTCACCTTGTTTTGCATAACATCGATGATAACATAAATCAAAAGGACAATTTCTTGTTCGTCTGATCCCATCAGCGGTCCTTGTAGGCCAGCTGTAGCCACATAAAGTATGCAGACGTGGTGAGGTCCAATCATATTGAGGCCTTTAATACTCATTTGGTGAATATGGAAAAATTCGAATGATGGAATAATATTCTTCTATAGTACACAATCCGCCATGCTGCCACGCGACCACTTGTTGATTCTCCCCGTATTTTTAAAGTTTTGCATTAGAATGTAAAATAGTAGGTAAGCACTCAGTTTTTTACGGCCGTAGTTATATCAGTAGGTAGATATAGGTACAAGAAATGTTCTTATCACTTTGAAATTGCTTATCAGAGAATCACAGAAGTATTATTTAGTACCTAATCTAACCTATAACGTATGACGGTAGGTCTTTTAAATTATATTATTTAAGTAAATAAATTAACGAAGGATATCACAACGATAAATATGACTTAAAACGAAGAGTATTTCTCAATTTTATAATAGGTACACTAAAACAAGTTTAACATTTAAAATTTGGTAAAAGCGTTCGACGTCGGTTTTGCGTTATTTTCTAATTCAGGTACTTTTTTCGGGGCAGCATCACGTTTAGAAAGATAGGTACGTCCTTTTTGTAATTTTGAAACACATTAACGTTTATTTTTCACCAAATAATAGGATGTGCGCAGGAATCAACAGGTTAATCCGAGTAGGTACTAAGGCACTTATTGTTTTAACGACTGCACGTTTCTTTAAAAATATATGTTCACAGCCTACCGGTCATTACAAAATATTTGGTTTTAAAAATAATTAATGGGAATTGTTTTCATTTTTACATTCAGGCTGTCAGATAGCCTCAATTTTTGTCGTACACTCGTAGAAGGGGCCGCGTCGACTGGTTCTACCTGCCAGGTAAAACACCAATCGGGGAGAAGGGTAAGTACAGTCTAACGCAACGTAACTGTAATCAACGCGCATATTCTATACTTACCTTCGAAATCGGTACGTTATATAATTAAAAAGACTATCGTCGGTTGCCACATGTTGCATGTTACCTATTCGAAGTACCTACTATTGAAAAATGCTTTTGGCGCTTCCTCATTACCCTTTATGGAAGCTGTCGTGCAATTCAATCAGGGAATACCGCGAATCATTCTATCGTAGTACCTCAATAGATGGTGCTTTGATACGTTAGCCAAAAGGTGAAGGTAAAGAATGTTTTCATTCATTATAGATCACGAAATGCTTCAAGTTTACAAAACGGTACCTTCCCGAGAGGTTATAAATAGCTGAAACTCTTCGCTTCATGTCCTCTTGTATAGCTAATAAAAAACAACAATCTCTAAATCACCATTGGATAATCATTTCTATTACGGTTAAATCTGATTGGTTGCGAACTTGATTCTGGCAAGCCGTAACTTTATTACTTTTGCTGCGCGTAGTGTGAACATTCGCTAAATTTTCCTTCTTGCTTTTCTTTTACACGCACTATGCCTCTCGCTGTCGTCATGCACCTGAACTGATGATAAAAAAGGATAAGCGAATTCGCCACTGTTTTATATCTAATAATCCCTCTCAATTAATATTTATACTTATGCCTGTCTCTACATCATAGACGCCTAAAAGCTGAAAAAGGTACAAATACGGAAGTAAAAATCATATGACGAAGCCAATAGACAGGTGCATTTAGCAAGCTCGCGTTTATTACGCGTCATGGCGTCCCTTTCATTTAGCTACACTCAGCAATAATTGCATCTCAGTAGGTATTCCTTCATTGGTTACAATATAATATCGCCACTGCGCAAAGCTGTAGGTACACACTCCAATCTATCCTCTCCATAAATTTCCTGTGTAACATGTTTACTTCCCACAGATACAAAATTTGATAAGAAAAAATTGCAGAAATACGCCGATTTAGGCAGACCTCCCTTTTGTACCATTACCTAACTCACTTCCAGTTAAAAATTATAATATGCGGCTCCTCGAGTGACACGTCTTTTTAAATGGATTATCCTAAAAACCGAATTTTTATAGTCTGGTCGAGATATAGTTTAGGAATATGAAAGCATCATAAAACTAATAACATTTGACATTTTTATTGTCCGTTACCTTTCTCTCACAAAACAAATCAAGTAGGTACCTATGTCAATAAAACGACGGACACGGACGTTTCGGCGGAGCGCGTTTCGGCGGCGAGGCGTTTTGGTGGAGGAGGCATTTCGTCGGCGGGACTTTTCGGTGGTGGTCGACAAAATTTCGGCCTCATAGATAATATGATTATATACAGATTCGGGTGCCCACTATTGGGATTTTTCTTTTATAGTAGTCGGAACAATTATAGAACAAATCATGAGCGCTGGGCTTCGGAGATATAGCATAGCATGTGTACATGGACGGCACTATCGTCCATCACTACTTCAGTGTTCGTCCTCCTCGCTCGAACAGGAGCAAGCTTTGTCTTTTCGGAGGTTTCAGTCTGCTGCTGAACAAAACAACGCGGGGACGTACAAGAGGGCGTTCCATCTGCTTAAGGAGATATGGCCCAACTGTAACACACAGACATTAAACGTCGACTACGAAGTGGGTGTCCACAACGCCATACGTGAGGAATTTCTTGACGCAACTATCCACTTGGTGCTGAATCTCAGGAAGCACTTATCTTCAGGGCATCTGCTGAATCGATACAGCACATCAGACAGTAAATTCGCTCTGCAAGCGCGAATGATAACGTCGATCGCCTTTGTTCCGGAGGGGGACGTCGTTTGATGCATGGAAGAGCTGGAGAACCACTTACTAGCGGAGCTCGAAACTATCTTGGACTGGTCCACGGAATATTACGTTGAACGCCCGCACATAGGAAAATGCAGTGTTGTTCCGCCGTCGCTCACCCTACGATGAAGGTTCATCAATATGATCCAAATAGTACAAAAATCTATGGACGCCGAATATCGCAGGATCAGAGGAAAACGCAGGAAGTTGCGACAATCCAACGCCGGCGATAGGATTCTGAGGACACTCCAAGATTACGATGGAAACAATATACAAAAATATTTGAGAGGTTTTTCTCATATTTTATGAGATGAATTAACAAAATATACAGTGTGCAATAAATAATTCCACTACTACTACCAAAGGGAAATCCCAATGGGCAACTGAAACTTGTTTATATATTATCATTATAAAATTATATACCTATATACCGTGTGAATATTCCCAAACCGAACATAGGGAATTAACATGTGAAAAAGGTTTTTTTGGAGATAGTTGCTCCCCATGTTAACTTAGAGGGTTTATAATGACACCAATCGAAAGAAGATTTTTTCTTCGTCTGATGGTATAGGAATTAGTTCATTTTCAAGTGTATTTCCCACAATTTTATAAAAAATTCCGCAATAAATCCACTTACCAAAATCATGTTAAGCTATGACTAGACTAGTAAGGCGGTTCACTGAGGAAAAAGTATTTATAATTAACAACGTTTACAGCGGAAATATTTACTCTAGTACGCGCTATTTGATTTCCGTGCATTTTAATGAGCGTCCCATTCCGTCTGTGTGAAAAACTATTTCAATTCTTTAGGAAATTTCCATGGCTTAACATGATTTTGCTAATTGCATTTATTGTCGAATTTTTGATAAAATAGTGAGAAATACACCTGAAAATGAACTAATTCGTATATCATTAGATGGGAAAAAAAATCTTCTGATTGGTGTCATTATAAACCCTATATAAGCATGGGGAGCAACGATCTGAAAAAAAACGTTTTTACCATGTTAATTGCCTACTAAGAAGTAAGAAAGCAACCAAGATTGCTTAATGAAGCAGCTCAGGTTGAAGTTTTTGGCCAATTTGCCATAAATCCCTCAATGTCAACATTTAGTTTTTTTTTTGTTAATTATTAAATTTTTGTTAAATTGTCTTAATGGATATTGACTTTATTGGTACCACTGGAAAGCATTTTTCAGTAGCTTTCCAACGATGTGTCACAAGTATGGAGTTGTCATTTAGATTTTTGAAGAGGGGGGGGCTGGAGGTTAAGGGGGTGGGGGGTTGTCACTCATGACGTCATTCTGGTTCCCCTCGATACCCCCGAAACGGTTTTGCGCGATTTTTAATATCTTCTTTAGTTTGGTAAATATGGCCGACTGCAAGTTTTAAAACCGACACCCCGTATGTAAAACACAAATACATACTTAACTCTATTCACCCGAATCACTTGCTTCACACGTTCGCTAATCTCGCTCGTGTCTCAAACGTAACTGAATAATAAGCGTCAAAACATGCTCGTAATGGTAATACTATCAAAGGAGATGTACGAGAATTTTAGATTGGAATTAACAAAACAATTCAGCCCTATTAAGTATTAAGTACCATATCGACAGTAGGTACCCGCGATTTTTCCTTAACCTACCGATCCCGGCCGAGTACGATAGATACAATCGTCACTTGATGCGACACCGTTGCCTTTTAGCCTTGAACGAAACATGTACCTTTGTACCCATCATATACGCGAAAATAAACATTTCCAATGTTAAAACTTAATGCGGTTCAAGATTGAGTCTTGTTGTCCTTGTTGTTTACCAAAATGATGGTATGCCTCTTTCAATTTTTGTAGCTAATACCTCATGCGAAATGCAATCGATCTCACTCGACGGGCTAGCGAGGTAAATTTAATATGTTTTTTTTTAAACTATGAGCCAACAATTCAGGAAACATTTGGTTTTCTAGACACTGTCCTAATACCTACAATACCCTTATTATGTTATTATGCAAACAAAAATGACGAGAGTATTTTACTCCTTATAATGTTAACGCTAGAGCCGGGAAGGTACGAGATCCTTGCTCTATTCTTTTTCAGAATCATATCATTGAAGTCTGATTCACACAAGTTGTACTACGTATTTATTCTTCATAAAGATAAATTAAAAGTATCAACACATACACTGTCAATTGTAATAGTTATTTACATAAAAGTCAGGAAAATTACACATTACTGGCGAGGAAATATTGAACTACAAGGCCCCTCTGGGGCCGAGTACTTTAATTTCCGAGTCAAGTGATGTCATTTTACATCACTTAGGTACAAGTCGATTTTGGAAGTAATGTCATTGATTGATTGCTCGTCATCGATCGACCACTTAAAAATCTAACCCACCCCTTTTATTATACGGTCACAAAACTACTAGTTTTTGGGAAAAAACTACTCAAACTACTTTGCGGCAAAAGTGCAGCTGATTTATCTAAATGAATAGTACGTAGCAACAATGGGATTAGTAATAGCCTAATAAGAGCGATGTATTTATTCTTCATGCTAATGTGGACAATGCTATCAGTTGAATAGGTGAGGGTCGTGTGTGATGAGTGTCTGTACCGATAACTAGTGCATAGATTACATACGTTTTCCTTTAAATTTATTTTTGAAACAAGCTCCTTTATTTTCTTATCATTTGCATCTACGGGTCAGTCTATTTGTGTGCGTCGTATTTTTACCGCATTATCCAACAAAGTTGGGTGCGTTATTGCAGCCACTTTCTCTGTTCGTCCGTCTGTGCGTCTGTCCGAGGCGTTAACTGCTCCTACAGTTTTCAAGATATTAAGTTCGTTCTTTTTGCATTCGGTAGCGTATAGCTCTAGCACTTGAGCCAAGGAAAATCTTGACAATTAAACTGCGCATAATGGCAACTTCCTTATTTATTAATATATTTCGTTGGCATTTTAACCACAGATACTTCTGGTGAAGGCAAATATATCGCATATAGTAAAAATCAGTTTTGCACATGCACAGAGTGCGCAATATCAACTGTTATTTATCGAGATATCTTTTTGAAATTTTAATCACAGATGCTTCTGTTAAAGGCAAACATAACTGATATTGCAAAAATTAAATGTGCGCAGTAGTCAGTGCCAACTTC